CATATGCAGCAAAACTAAGCATGATTCTGAATGAAAAAAAATGGATATTTAATCAATTTTCAGACTTTCAGGACTTTAGAAGATTTGATATACAAGAGCTAAGAGAAATATAAGGTACATACTAATGACCAGTTACAAGGGACTAAATAAGGATATTTTTAAAGAAGGATAAATGTTTACCTTTTATGTATGGAAAATGTAAAACCTATGTCTAAGATTGTTACTAGTAATTAAGTAACTTATAAGAAAGATTGGGGTAGACTTGAGTATAATATGACTTCAAAAAAGTAAAACCATTCAAGAACAGTCAAAAGAGTAATTTTCTTTTACAAGAGAGGGGCAAGAGGAATAACCAATACAGAGGAATTAGTTTGGGGGAGGGGGGCTGTTAGTTCTGGAAATTTACTTTCTTGGGGAATGGGTTTAAGAGGGTAAAATGCATACACGTTTAGAATAGTATAAAAGTCTTCTAAATTTAGAAAGAAATAAAACTCTAAGGGGATTGAGGGGAGAAGATAAAGGTGGGATCTTTACAGGTGAGGATGAAGGAATAGGTTAAAAGGGGGATATAGTAGGGAGTTTAGATGTAAGTAAATAGGAGGATATGGGAAGGATCTCTGGGGTGATGGTAGTTCAAGGAACAGGAGAGTAAGGTAGCATGTAGAAGTAAGGTAGAGGAGTTAGGAGAGATAGGAAAAAAGAGAAATACACAAACATAAAAACAAAGATTAGGAATAGAATCTCTTAGAAAGTATATGTTTATATATGTACATATGTCTGTGTATATGTGTGTACATGTATGATTATATCAATACCTATATATAAATATATCCACGCTCAGTTATAGCCTTGGGGTGGTAGGTAGGGGGAAGGAAGGGGAAAAAAAGAAGTAAGTAAAATGTGTACAGCAGAGAACAAAAGAAAACCTACAAGGAAGTAAAGATGCATGATTTTCAACATAATGCACTGTATTTAATACATAGGCTTTCTTGAAATGAAAAGTTATTGCTATATATTTTGAATCTTCTATGTTCTGCTGAGCACATGACATATTGTTTTTCTTTTCTTGTTTTATATTTAAGTTAAATATTTGCTTGTAATGTTTCTTTCTTTTTTCTTATTATGTTTCTAAGTTTTAGCATTTGTCTAAAATAAAAAAGAAAAACAAAGTGTGTTGTATCGTGCTCAGATCTTTGCCATTATCGTCAAGGACCACTAGGTAACTCTCCCTTTCTGCTGAACAAGTTCAGTACCTTGGCTCACAGTGTTTTTCACTTCCCCAGTTCTTGAATCCTTTGAATACTCTGGCATCCCAATTTTCCAACCTTTTCATCAACACAGGCATAGTCAGTCAGTCATAACTTAGCCCTTCTCCCCGGGTCCCAAATGAACATAACCCAGGGTCAGGATTCTAAGCAAGAACTCTGATTCCCACTTATTCCCAAAGAGAGTCAACAGCTTTCTAGAGAGAATCCCTGCAGGCAGAGCCTATCCAATTCCTGAGTATTAACTGGGTACTTACTGTGTGCCCAGTGCTACTTAAGAGACCTGGTCTAATTGAGCAGAAGCATAATGCTCCCTACCCTCGAGGAGCTCTCAGTTTTGTTGAGGAAGCAACTGAAAAAAAAATAGATTTTCTTTTTGTACATAATCAAGTGATAAATTATGTGAACAAGAAAATAAGAGTTAAATTTATTTCACGGGATTTCAGTGTCCAACTCTATTATCATCCTAATCTTCAGCTTCCCCATGGATTAAATCATGCTATATAATCTTTCCATTATCCCCATCCTGTGAAAAAAAGATGGGGGGAAAAGTCTCTGCTCAAAGGCAAATCACGACAGGATATTCCATCATCCTCAAAGTCTAGATTAGCATTCAGTGAATTAATCTCATCATCTGGCTTTCTACCTAGAATGGGCGATAACTAGGAGTTTGCATCATGTTCATGAAACCTCAGAAAAAGTGATATCCTAGGCAGTCATGGGATTATTGGGGAGAAAAAAAACCAATTGACCTAGATTTTCCTTATAGTTTATTCAATGGGGCTGGGGGGTTGGGAAATAATTGGGGATAGCGGAATGTCGAAACATGCCAAAGGTGTATCCTGCTAGCCCTAAGATTCGGCGTGTTGATCATCCTTGAATAAACTTTTTGGGAAGAGCATCATCAGAAATGTTACAACAATAGCATAAGAACTATGGTCTCCTGTGTGTGATGGACCTTAGAGAGAAAAAAAGATAGTGCTTCTGTAACCACCCATAGTCCTGGATAAGTACAGGGAGCAGGTATACAGGAACAGCAGGTTGGGCAGGATTGCAAGTTGAAAGGCCACTTTTCTTTTTTTATCTTTGATGTCTTTCTCAGATTTAATGGCCAGCATTAGGGAGTCACTGAAATGGTTAGCTGAGATTCTACACACAAGAATTCTCAGGTCCGTGAGGAAGAATATAGCATGACCGGATTCTAGTTAGGGCACTGGGTTGCCAAGGGGTGCTTTCTGTTTCACCAATAATGTCTCTATACCAAGCAGTTTACCAACAACTATTCTAGACCTTCACAGAAACCCTTCAGCATTTCTTAAAAGCTTTCATCATTTGGAGTTCCCACATAGAACAGAGTTTAAAAGTTGGTTTTTTATGTCCCCCAAAGTATCTCTCTCTAATGAAAACAATGTCAGAGCCATAAGCACAGTGGCATTTTCTGGACATGCTATAAATATACAGGGTGTACTTTATCCTGTATCGTCTATTAGAGTGCTGAGACAAAGAAAAAGCACCAGGGAAAATGGTTTGAGGCAATACTTTCAACATATTTTCCAAGGCCATTTTAAATGACTCCCTAGTCCTTGAACTCCCTGGTGATAATTCTAATAGTAGCAACAACCATTTGGTGAGTGGCCTGCACTGCAGGATACATTTGGCTTTAGCTGCTATAAGGTCTATTGCTTTTTGTTACCAAGGAGAAAGTATCCAAGTTAACCAGAGAGACATTTAGGGCTTTCTTAGCTCCATAGCATTAGAAACCTCAGAGAGTGCTGGTAAATGGTAAACTGACTCTGTATGCTTAAAAAAAAAAGTGTCACATTTCAAGCTTCATGTATTTCTTACACTAACCATGGTTTACTGTGGTTCTGATAACATTAATCCCTGTACTGAAAACATCTGTCAACCTGAAACATCTGTCAAGGCAAGGCAAACACTGATGGTACACAGGTGAATATCATTTGTATCCCCTGATCCAGAAGTAAGCCCTCATTTCTCTGCAGCATTATATGCTTGGGCAATTCCTGGAATAACAGAAAACCGGGGTTGATGACTCATGGGGCACACACACAATGGGTCAAAAGAATATTATCTTGACCTCTGGTCTTTTGCCCTCTTGGGGATTCTTAAGTGCACTCAGCAGGCTAGGTACCATCTCCAGGCTGGATTCCTGCCACACAAGGATAGACATTACCAAGAATTCTTCTTCTGATCTGCCCTGTGGGTGACATGAAGCTGATATCAGTCAGAGAACAGACTCATTATCTGGGGGAATGTCACTTTGTGTAACATAGGTGGCCTGCATGCCTCTCAGATGTGTTTGTTGGCCTGGTGACAACTCAGCGTGTACCATATCAAGTCTCTGCTCTTCTAACTGACGTGACGGAGAACAAAGTTGAAGGGAAATGCCACTCCACATGTCACCATAGCAGCCTTGTCTTGACAGAAACGTACCTGAAAATGTGAAATGTTGAACAAGGGAGGATTTTGTTTGAAGCTCTACTCGCTCCACATTTCAGGGAAAAGAGAAACCACAGGAGGCAGACAAATCTCTAAAGGGGCTTTGTACAGAGATTAATGTGCTAATTCACTCATTACTGCATTCTGGAGGAGAGCTTCTTAGGCCAGCCTCTGAGCCTCACCTTCAGCTATAACATGGCTTTGCATTAAGTGTTTTAATAAAACATGAGATTAAATGATCATCCATAATGATATTTATCCCCAAGTTGAGGTGTGAGAGAAAAAAAATAGAACCTCCACAGTATCTAAAAGCCACAGCAATTGCTATTTTGGAAAAAAAAATGAAGAGATCTGTTGTAAAATGGCATGGTTTCCCATGGGTCTGCCTTAGTCCAGCTTATTAGGTATTATTCCATTCATCCACCCCATTGGGGGTTATAAATAATGCAGGTAGCACAGTTGTGGATGCATTTTGTTTGCCACAGGAAGATAGGCATTATGATCCTTATTTTTTAAACTATGAACACAGTGTGGAAATAATAAGTAATAGAGACAGTTCATTTCAAGGCTAGTCATATGTGTTTTTTTCTCCAGTTGGTGGTCACCCACGCTTGGCATGCTCTCCCTCCTCACCTCTCCCTGTTAGAATTTTTAGCTTCCTGCAAGTTGCAAGACAAGTAATGCCTCCTATAAGAAACCTTTCCTAGTTCTCCCAACTTGTAGTGCTCCCCCACCAAAATTACTGTGAGTTTAATTGTATATATTTGGTATTATCTGTGTACATGTTGTATCTGTACAGTAGAATATAAACTCCCTGAGGTCAAGGATTGGTTATTTTTTTCCCCTTTGTATCTGCAGTTCCAAGCACAGAGAATTGTAGGGCTGAATGGATGCTGATTGAATTGAGTTGAATTGAATTGAACTGAATTGGAATGTATGCTCCAGTACCTCTAGGTAGTTGCACCATTGAGAGGAGGTGAACACCGCCGCCACCACCACCAATAAAATCCCCTAAACTGCCTGGAAACAGCATTGATCAAGGAAGCCAGAGAATAGTAAAAGGGGATGAGACATACTTATCCTGAAGCAAGAATGACAGACCTGCTTCTTCTATGACACATCCTGAACAAATGACACACCCTTCGAAAGCCGCTGCTGACTTGTTTTATGCATGTGAATCTTTTAATCCTTCTTTCTTTTCTTCCTTCTTTCCTTTCTTCTTTCTTTCCTTCTTTTTCTTTCTTTTTCTTCCTTTTCCTTTTCTTCTTTCTTTCTTTGCTGTCTTCTTTCTTTCTAAAACTAGTGCCCACTGTAGAACAAGGGTAATTTGGTTGAGCTATCAGGGATGTGTTCAGTACCACTTTTTGCAAATTTATTGCTCTACTGGAGCATTAATGCACCAAGTCTTTCTTACTGAGGCATAATCCTGTAATGCTGAGGTGAACAAGTCAAAAGACAGCAGCTGGGTTTCTGATTCCACTGATGCTCAAGAAGTCAAAAGTCTTGTCCTCTCTGCTTTCCAATTGCTGACTTGCGCCTTGTGCCACAGCTGTTTGACCCAGTACCTGGATTTTGAGTGCTAGAGAAGAACACCCAAAATACCTGTCTGGAAATTTTTTTCTCTGCCCACCTTGCCTGCATCCAGTGTCAGGTCAGGAACATGATCCTGCCCCCCTCCCAGCAACCCCCCCACCCCACCCCCAGGAATGAAACCAACACTTCAGCCAAAGTATATTTATAAATGAAACAAGACCAGAGAGTTGCAATATTAGGGCTATGACTTCCAATAATAACAAAAAGCCATATGTGCCCACTGAATCAAGGAGATGTTGACCAGAGCTTCTATCGCCATTTGACAGGAACTGAGGTGCCTGTTCCCCTAAGAACTGGAGTTGTGGTCTACTGCATTGGTAAAGTTGTTTCCTTGGGATATTGTTACTAAAAGCCAAAATTTTATATTCCTAAAGAAGTAGAGAGAAAGAATCAAAATTTCCAAGAATTCTGTGCAGTTGAAACTAAACCTCTGATTAGTTTTCTTTCTTGGTTTCCAAAGAAAATAGCAGTGCTGGGCACACAGTAGAAACTCCATAGCATAAGTTATGCAGCAGGTCACACTTAAGACCCTACCACTTTGCCTGTGGTCAAAAGCAGGACCAGTCTACTTTAAAACTCCACACCAAATGACAAACAGGGGGATCTGTTTCTGAAATCATTCTAAACTTTATTTTAGAGAAATTTACAGAAAATTTAGAAAAAGTATATTTAGAAAAAATTCTGAATTTAAGCACAACTAATTTAAACCCCTATTGTTCAGTTGCTCAGTCTTGTCCAATTGTTTTGTGACCCTGCGGGCCATACTGCCCACTGGGATTTCTTAACAAATATACCAGAGTTGTTTACCATTTCTTTCTCCAGTGGGTTAGGATAAACAGAGTTAACCATTAAGCGACTTGCCCAAGGTAACATAGCTAGTACGTGTCTGACACTGACTTTGAACTCAGTTCTTCCTGACTGTAGACTCAGAGCTTTATCCACTGATCCACCCAGCTACCTCCTAAACCCCTATTAGGGGATATGTATGTATGTATGTACATATGTATGTGTGTGTGCTTATATATGCATATATATATATGTGCATATACATACATATATACACACAGAGAGAGATGGAGAGCTATCTCTGTGTATATCTGTATGTATGTATATATGTATATGTGCACGTGCGTGCACACACACTCACACACACACGGAAGAGAGAGAGATTTGTTTATTTATTAGACCTTCAGTTCTTCAATCTACCAAACCAAGGTCAAAATTCAGTGTTATTTTACTTTATGATTCAAAAATTGACACGCATATACATTTTGTCAGTTTCTGGGAGGATTAAAAGGTTTTTCTTTAATTAAACACAAGTTACCCTAAAGACCAAGATGGCATTACAGAAAATAAATCAACAAAAGTCTAAGTTACCTCTCAAGTATCAATTAGAAATTGAACTGTCTGTCAAGCTGTAAGTGGTAAAGAAGAATTTTCTGGGTCTTGTTCCTTCTTCTCTACCTTTCTCATTTGTATTTGCACCCTTTCTGAAGAGCCCTCACTCAGTTCTCCCAAAGAGGTATTTTCTATAGGAGTGATCATTCTTCTCTGCACACGGACTATTCAGTATTCTGAAATATAACTTTTGTTCTCAAGCAGCACCAGCCCTTTCCTGATAGCACTTGGTGTGATGATTGGGTTTGTTCTGCCTCTGATGGAAGTGGGTCATACGAAACAATGTGGCTACTCAACCCACATTATGATTTTCAATCTTTTTCCCAGAAAACATGACTGAGTTAGGTTCCAGTTACTCACCAATTAATTCTCTGTCATGGTAACTTCAGGCCAATGGAGAAATGTGAGTGTGTTGGCTGGAAACCCACTGCTGCCACCAAGCGTTGAAGCATAAACACTTGCTGAGCTTTTCTCTTTGCCTCTTCTGCAAGTTAGGTTGTACTAATAGAAATAGGAATGGTTTTAAGTCTTAAGAAGAGCAGGAATGATGTCCTTGAAGAATATGGAATAAGGGATTCCTTACATAAGTAGAGAAAGAGACTTGTTAGATGTTTTAGCAATATTTTAGTTGTTAATTAATATTTCCTTTTATAGCTAGCATTTAACACTTTAAGTTTTCCACATCTATATACATAATATATTTATATATATTTATATATCTATAATATATATTTATAGATGTGTGTATATATATACACATATACACATACATACATATATATACAATATGTGTGTATATATACACATAAATATATATATATATATATATATATATATTCTTATTCAGTCTTCACAACTCTATGAGGTAAGTGTTGTTGTTATTATTATTATCTCCATTTTATAAATGAAACTGAGGCTGAGACAAGTTAAGTGACTTACCTGGGGCCACACAGCTAATAAGTATTTGAGGTCATATTTGAACTTGGTTCTTTCTGAATCCAACTCTAGAAGTCTTTTTTTTTTCATCCCTTAGTATAAAAACACTTTGGATACCAGAAATGTTTTGTAGACAAGGAGAAGAAACATCTGAATTCTTTTGAGGGATTTAAATTGAAGAATACTAAAAACAACATGGTGACTTAGGGCTATCATCAATATTGATGAGGTACACTATAAATAGATGCAAACTGCAAGAGCCCATTTGTAACAGCAATGTGTTCCAATTATTCCATTCTTAATTATTCCATACTCTCCACGGATGCTGTTGCCACAAACAACAAGAAAACCTCAGACTACTAAGGCATTGCCATCGACTACCTCAGTCCACAGAGGGATATGTAGGAACAAAACCCTTATGCTCATACAGCTGTTTAGTTAGCCAAACAACAACATTTAGCTGGCAAAAGAGGATATTTTCTTAAGCAACTACCCCCTTTTATAAGCTCTGAAATATTCAGTCCTGTAGAAGATAGGTGACTGGACTATATGACTACAACAAAAGGGAAGTTGCATGGGATGGCAAAAAGAGCCCTTCCAGTCACAGGATGTGTATTCAAATGCTACCTCTTAAACTCCTGTCACTGTTGGTAAGAGATTTAATCTCTATAAGTTATGGCTTTAAATTTCCTCATCTATAAAATGAATTAGACCACATGGCCTCTGAGGTTCCTTGCTATAATTTATGATCCTATGAATGTCAGAGAAAATTCCATTAGAATAAGATGCTTTTATCTATACAGTATAGCTATAGATTAATGTGGAAACACATATGTAGATGTGCGTGTCTGTGGGGTGTGTGTGAGAGAGAGACAGAGAGAGAGAAACTATAAAGTGATTGGAAGATAAGCTGTCTGAGAATAGCAATGTTGTCTTTTTTTTAACTTTGTATTCCAGAACCAAGTACAATACCTTAAATACAGTACATGCTTAATAAATGCTCATTGACTGACTGAGTCAGAATTCAAACTCAATTCCTAACTCTAAATTCAGTGCTCTCTCAAGTATGACACTCCTCACCTGATTTCTGGTGATATCTTTTGCGTTGCTTTTATTGTACAATTTTGATTGGTTATGGGGCATTCCTCTATTCATCCTCACTATGTGCCTCTCCATTTCCCTTTTGATGACATTCAATTTTAATTCTTCAGAATCTGTGGTACTTCATGATTTAATAGCCAGACTGCATCACTGGGAGAATATTAGTATTTGAAAGAGGAAAAAGATAGAAAAAGCTTCAAAAAGAATCAGATCCTAGTGTTGTTGTTGTTGTTTTTTAATAGTGACCAGCAGAAAATTAATAATTACTGACCATGGCCCATTTTTACATCTCTTTAAACTTTTGTGAAAATAATTTACATGTGCATTAAGGGAGTTCATGATGTTATCCTGATTGTGTTTCCACAATACTCGAATTGTTTCCTTCTGGCTGCTTGCAGTATTTTCTCCTTGACCTAGGAACTCTGGAATTGGCTACAATATTCGTAGGAGTTTTCCTTTGGGGACCTCTTTCAGGAGGTAATCAGTGTATTCTCTCAATTTCTGCTTTTCCCTCTGGTTCTAGAATATCAGGGCAGTTTTCCTTAATAATTTCTTGAAAGATGATGTCCAGAATTTTTTTTTGATCATGGCTTTCAGATAGTCCAATAATTTTTAAATTCTCTTTCCTGCATCTATTTTCCAGGTCAGTTCTTTTTTCAATGAGATATTTCACATTGTCTTCTATTTTTTCATTCTTTTGGTTTTGTTCTGCAATGTCTTGATTTCTCATAAAGTCACTAGCTTCCAATTGCTTCATTCTAATTTTTAAGAAAGTATTTTCTTCAGTGAGCTTTTGGACTTCCTTTTCCATCTGGCCAATTCTGCATTTTAAGGCTTTTTGGACCTCTTTTGCCATTTGGGTTAGGCTATTTTTTAAGGTGTTATTTTCTTCAGTATTTTTTTTTAGCAAGCTGTTGACTAGTTTTTCATGATTTTCTTGTGTCACTCTCATTTCTCTTCCCAGTTTTTCCTCTACTTCTCTTACTTGCTCCTCAAAATCATTTTTGAGATCTTCCATGGCCTGGGACCAATTCACATTTTTCTTGAAGGTTTTGGATGTAGGAGCTTTGACTTTGTCATTGTCTTCTTCTGGTTGTATGTTTTGATCTTCTTTGTCACCAAAGAAAGATTCTATGGTCTGACTTTTTTGTGAAGTTTGCACATGATCTCAGCCAGTTACTTGAGTTATAAACTTTTAGTTAAGGTAGGAGTCTGCTTCCAGTGTGGAGAATGTAGTGTCCCAACCATCGGGTTTTCCCAGCTGTTTTCAGAGATACTTCTAGGGACCTGTAAGTTTTCAGTTACTCCAAGGTGGTATGATCAAGGGCAAGGTGTTTACTGCTTTCCTGGCCTGTGCTCTAGTCTATGAGTGACCACAAGCACTCTTTTCTGCCTTGGAACTGTGAGGAGGATTTTCTCTTCACCATCACTACAAGCTCCACCATGCCAGTACTCCTCCTTGCCCCAGGACTGCCACCCAGAACTGTGACCCAGATCCAAGCACAGGCAAAGCAAAAGAATCCTGCCTTAGCACCAGCAAAGTGATCCCTGCAATCCCTCCTGATCAGCCACTCAAATCCCCCTCAGTCTGTGGGCTGGAAGCTATGGGAAGCAGCTACAGCCCAAGAGCTGTAGCCAGAACTGAGACTGAGACAGAGCTCTCTCACCAGGGTCACAGACTTTTCCTACTGACTTTCTAAGCTGTCTTTGATGTTTATGGGTTGAGAAGTCTGGAAACTGCCACAGCTGCCCATGATTCAGTCCTCTGAGGGCTGCTCTAGGTTTTATGAGGCCTGGTCTCTCTCTGCATACACACCCATGCTGGACTATGTTTCTCTCACAGCCTGGCACAATAGACCTTTCTGATCAACCATCCAGGTTGTCTTGGGCTGGAGATTTGTTTCGCTCTGTCTTTTTGTGGGTTCTGCTGCTCTAGAATTTGTTCAGAGCCATTTTTTACAGGTGTTTGGAGGGGTTTGGGGGGAGAGCTTAATCAAGTCACTGCTTTTACTCCACCATCTTGGCTCTGCCCCCCATCATTTGGGAGTTAATGATGAAGATGTAAGAAGAGAACAGGGAAGCTTTAACAAACAATATTCAGTAGGAGGTTCTACCTTTAAAGTCATGAAATTGGCTGAAATATGTAGATAATATAAGATTCCAGTATGCTTATTGTTGGTTAACTATTTTTAAAAACCATTTAATTCATCAAAAACCAGAATTGTACCTTAAAGGCTCCTTTCCAAAAAGGTCTCTAGGTATCCATTCAGATGTTAAAAACATGTAAGATTCCTCGAAAGACAGAACAGAGATAACTGTTCAATGGCCCTCTGATTATTGATATCAGGTAAAATATAAAATGGAGGATGTCCCGGGCAGAGTCCAAATCAAAGAGGGTAAATGGAAGCACAGTCCATCTTTTCACTCTGTTGGTTATAGCCATGGAAGCAATTCTACTCACCTGATATCTAAGACCACAGAGCCCCAACTAAGTTTGACAGGCCGAAGAGCAGAGATGGAAAGAGTTTTCTGATTTGTCATATCCACTCTCTACTCCCTATGCCCCAGATCCATCCACAGCAGAACAAGGTTAGATGGTGTCTACCAAACAGTCTGGGTAGAATGCAGCTAAAAATACTTTCCATAGCATCAGGGCAGTAGGACCCTTTCCTCTGCTATAGGAGTATAAAAATTACAAGTTTATCCTGTGACCCACTAGAAATTGGCTTCCAGCTGAGATTGGGCATCATTCAACAGGCAGCATGGTAGTCTGAATTTATTATTAAATATCTTTTACAATACCAGTTGTTCTCAAATTTTAAGGATCTACTTTGCTTCTATTTACATGATAAATAAGAATGGTCAAATGCTCTCTATTTAGAAAATAATTTAGGGCCATTCAGATTCAAAAGAATAAGGATAGACTGAAAAAAAGTATACTAGTAAATTCAAAGTTACCTCTGTCTTGTGATATGCAGTGATGATGGTGATGCTAATGTTGGTGGTGGTAGTGGTAGTGGTGATAATGACCTACTCAGATTCTGAAAACCTTGTTTTAAGAAAAAGCCATTTCCTAGCTCCTGCTAGAGATGATATTTTCAAGTTTATGAGTGGGTCATCTTGTTTCTCTAAAACTGATCAGGTCCACCCATCTGGAGATTGATGATACAAGCTATGTCATTAACACTATCAATGCAGTAAGTTAACTAGTTGCCATTTTAAGCTCTATATAGCTCCAGGAGAGGTGCATAGAGTACAAACAAGTACTAACTCATCATTCCAAACTGGGAGATATAATGCAGAAGAGAAGAAAATAGGAAAATGTTGTATACAATTAAAATGAATCTGCATGATAGGCAACCCTGAGGTAGTAGAGAAATATTAATAGGTAGCATGAAGAAATGGCAAAGTAAGTCTATTTTGGATGTAGTCTAAGTCCAGATAAAATTACTATAAAGTATAATAATAATTAAAAAGAATAAAAGTGGACATTTATATAGCACTTTAAAGCTTACAAAGTATTTCATGGCATATAATTTGAGCTTCGTGACAACCTTTTGAATTAGGTATGGGGCTATAACTAGAATGGGATAGCCAGGGCTTTCCTCCCAAGGAGATTAATATAAAAGGCATGGATAGCCCTGGAAGCCTTTTAAAGCATAGCGTCTAGTTAGGAAGGATAATTAGGTAAAACAGAAAGCTGTCAGATGACTAGCGTGAGCTCCATCCCAGTGCTGCCTTGCCCATTCCCCAACCCTAGCCCCTCGTTGCCTCCCTAGTATCACCTTCCCCGGTGCTCTGGGAGTAAGTCTCTGTCCTTCACCACTCCCTCCACTCAATTGAAGCTTCATTTACTCTGGGCCCTGTTTTTGGTATCCTTAGCATAAAACAAAGAAAAAAGATCTAGCTACTGTCTATTTTATCCATTTAAAAAATTTATTTTCTCCATTAAAAAAAAATGAAGAAACTGAGATTGAATGACTTGTCCATGATTACATGGCTACTAAGTACCAGAAACAGAATTTATATTTAGGTATTCCTGACTCCAAGTCTAGCATTCAATCAATTATGCCATACTCCTAATGATGATAATAATAATAATAATAATAATAATGACAACCACACCAACTGTAAAATTTTTATTATGAACTAGATAGAATGAACAATGCTTTTTTTAAAAAAAGTATTATTGTCATATTACTTACATTTCCATATATGTTCCATCTTCCAGATACTCTGAGCCACCCCTAGCACCAATGAATTTAAAAGAAAGCAAAAAGCAGCCCAACAATTGTGATGACAGAATATGCAACAGTCCATTCCCATAGTCTCCTTACCTCTCTCTGCAAAGAAGGAAGGAAAGTACATTTTCTTAACATTTCTCTGGGGCCAGCAATTTACTTTTATAAAACATCTGTGTATGTATATGTGTGTGTGTTTGTGTGTGTGTCCATATATATGCACATGTAAGTATATATTCACTTCTTTGATCCTGAGAGTACACCTGTGAGGTAAGTGGGCCATATATTAGTGCCTCCATTCTACAGATGAGGACAAAGATGTAAAGTAATTAAATGACTCACACAAGGTCACACAAGCAAAAATTGGCAGTGATGAGGCTCAAATCAGGCTGTCCACAAACACACAAAGAATAGGTGCTCTAGGTGAGTTTTTGTCAGGGGACCAGAATGAGGCTCCAGTGGCATTCAGTTTTATGTGGGACAACTCTTGGAAAGTGAAGATGTGGAAAGGAATATCACCTTATCAGTCTCCAATAAAGAGGGCAAATGCTTGTCTTTTAAACCTGAGATCCTCACTTAGTTACCATTTTTCAAATGAATTCTGAGTTTGTTCACTCTCAGGCAGGTCTGCCAGAGCAACACAGGCATGCTCCATCTGGGAGAAGGTGGTATTTTCAAACAGGCAATCCATAGTAAGCACATCTCAGCTGCTTCTCAGAACCACTGACAGCAAGGAGAGGAGGGGAGAGGGGAGCCTATAAAAAGCTGTGGCACCAGTGATCTGGGTATGCTGGGCATAAAAATTAGGGAACGTAATTCAAGGCATGCTTATGGTTTTGTGCATATGTGCAAATAGTGAGGGATCATCCAAAGGTGAGCATAGACTTCATATACATCCTTAAACATTCCACTCATTGGATTGAAATCTGCCAAAATGCAGAAATAAGACAAATACTAGAGAGATAAAAAGGGAGAAGGAAATAAATGCAGGAAGAAAGATGGGCAGGAGTCAATTCAATATAAAGTTTGAATAATTCACTAAAACAGGTTCTCTTCAATATACTCGTTCCTACTCTGCCTCACATTCAACAATGATAACATTTATATATTACTTTAAGGTTAAACTACTTTATAAATATCTCATTTTATCTTCAAAAATCCTTGGAGTTAGGTGTTATTATAATATCCATTTTACAGATGAGGAAACTGAGGAGACAGAGGTCAAGTGACTTGCTTAGGGTCACACAGCCATCAGATGTCTTCCTGGTTCCATGGCCTAGCACTCTATCCATTATGCTACCTAGCCTTCTACATTCAATATCATATTGCCATCTAATTGAAAACTTCTTAATAAGAGTTCAGGTAAAACTAATTTTAAATAACTCCTTCCCCAAATATGAAATCATGACAGATTATATATTTACCCAACCAACATCCCATAAAGAGAAAGTTGACTAATGATGAAAAAACAAAGCAGTAACCAAACTGAAGTATTAGAAGTGGTATTGTTTTAAACATCCAGTAACTATTATTTTATTAGTAATTAATTACTGTGGCCATGCTGGATTCATTTGATTACCAAATGAATTTCTGATGATTGGTGCTATTGAAAGAGATGCAGGATGAATTCACAATGATGTGATACTTAAAAGTCTAATCATAAAGCAAATGATTCAGGAAGTCAGGTAGAGCCAGTTTTTTACTATTACTCTGATAATAGGCAAAGACTTACTTAAAAGGGAAGCAGGTAAGAATATGTAAGAAAGAGATTAAAAACAGGGAATGACATGAACTCAACTACAGAAAAAAGGCAGAGAATTTTGTATTGGGTGGATTTTTAGGATGTCTTTTCTGATTTAGTTATGTGTCATCACCAGGGAGAGTGTCAAAGTCACTAGCTAAAAGCTCATCTCAAATTCATTTCTTCATTGAAGACTCAGCCACTGTCTACACATAAGCAATGTGAAGTGGAATCTGGCAATTATCCAGTTGATTTGATAAGCCAATATACTTGTACCCAAAATTCAATTTTGGACCCAAGTAATCCAAACCAGTATTCTACACTGATCAGATGACCCAGGTGATTTTCAGATCCTTAATTCATACTGTTGTGTAGCCTCAAAAACCTACGATTAAATTTGTTCTCCCAAGAGAGCTACTTAATCTGGAATCAATATGGCCATGTCTATACAGATTTAAAGAATGAGACCCAGGGCCCTAACATTCAGTACAACCAATTACCTTTGTAAGCCAGGGCAGTACTGACAACAAATAGTAAGGTCCAATCTTCCAATGTCTCTGCCAAACATACATATATATATATATGTGTGTGTGTGTGTGTGTGTGTGTGTGTGTGTATGTATGTATATGTGGTAGCAAAGTGGCATGGCCCAAAGTACTGATCCCTTTAAATAGACATGGCCTTAGTTTTCTTTATGAGTTTGCTGAGTCTTGTAAATAATAATAGGAATGGCATAGCCAGATGAGATTAGAAATGAAAGGCCTCAGAGTTCATGAATTTTCCCTGCAAGAAAATGGAATAGAAAATAACCCAGATTCATTGCAAATCTCAGCAATCATGAACAGGAATAGAATTTTCACGTCCTCAGATGGGCAACTCTCTTCGAACAAAAACATCATGCAACATTTTCTCTGCACCAGTAGAGGGCAGCACATACCTCATTAAAAAGGAGTGCCTGACTTGATTATCATTTTGCATTGGTTGGAATAGCAGCTCTAGGTACAGAAATCTCTGCCTCTTCAATATACTTCCTTTACAAATTTTTGTAAAGACTTTTTCATTAATTTCATTTGTCCCTTTGTCAAAGTTTTAATGGCATTTGCCTTTAAGCTTTTATGAAAAATTCTTAAGAATCAAACCAATAAATATTTACTGTGCCAGACACTGTTGGGCATAGGCTAACAATCAGTAAAGATGTGAAGGAGGCAGGATTACATAGTGAAAAGGGCCTTGAATTTAGAATCAGGACCCCCAGGTCCTGGATTTGTAATGCACCAGCTGCACTACTGAGCAAACCTTTTTACTCTCTGACCTTCAAGATCCCTATCTGCAGAAATGGTGATAGCACTTTTTTTTTTGCACTACCTTCCTCACAGATTGGTGAAGATCAAATGAGACATTGTAAGTACAGGCAGCATAGTATATAAATCAAGAGCAGGCCTCATATCAGGAAGGTTCAAGGTTCTAGTCCCGCATCTGATGCATACTGTCTGGGTAACTGGGCAAGTCACTTAATCTCTCAATACCCCACCAACTTTCTAAGAAAATTGTAAATTGAAGAACAGATGTGACGTGCATTGATAGCAGGAGTCTCCTCCCCAGTAGTGGGATATAGCATAAAATTATATGTCTGGTCTTAAAATTAAAAAAAAAAGTAAAGTATTATCAAGATGTCTGTTAGGTTTCTACATCACGATACACCCTGGCTGCCCTGCCAGCCGATTCTCTCTCCGATTCTCTCTCTGATATTCTCTCTCCCTCTCCCCCTCTCCCCCTCTCCCCCTCTCCCCTCTCCCCCTCCCCCTCTCCCCTCTCTCTCCCCCTCTCTCCCTCTCCCCCTCTCTCTCTCTCTCTCTCTCTCTCTCTCTCTCTCCCCTCTCCCCTCTCCCCCTCTCTCTCTCTCTCTCTCTCTCTCCCTCCAAATCCCATCTTCTTTCATACACACATACACATACACCACACCACACCCCTCCTCAAAAGATAAAAGCATTTACTAAATCACAACACTAAAAAGCACATAAGCTAAATTCGGAAGAAGTTCTAGCTCTATTCAATAATATAAATGCCTCCAAAAAGCATATCTATAAATTGAAAGTCTGCCCTTTAACACCAGCCTAACGAAACTGAAACACACACACACACACACACACACACACACATTCATTACAGGCAGATAAAATTGTATTGTAACTTACCAGAATCACAATGCCAAAAGTAACACTTAGACGTTTTGAATTCAGGCCTATATACTCTTGCTGCAGATAGTCAGAAGTGGAGTTTCTGACCTCTCCAAGTCATAGGAGAAGAGAGAATAGGGAGATGTGTCCTGATACCAAGAAGGAAAAGAGAAAAATTAATCTAGAAACTTAATAAGATAAATGTCTACCAGATAGCCTTCTGTCTACTTCTGGTTTGTCTAGGTAATGATTATGAATTTCCCCAAGCTTCAAGAAGATGCACTCTATTGTTGATAATTACTTTCCATAGCTTTCTTTTCTGTACCAGATGGCCCTAGGGAGAGGATGAGATGGGGGGTGGAGGAGGTGGACTCTATCCTCTGCTTCCAAGAGAAATTTCAACAGTGTAGAGACATCCTCCACTGGTTCACAATGCCACACTTCCATGCCTTATTAGGTGTCATGAGTTATCACTTAAAAAAAAATCAGCATTTGGTGGTCAATATTTTAATTGAAGGTTTTGATATGGAACTGGTGGGGAGAAACAAAAAACACAGAAATGTTTATTTTTTAATATTTATTTTTCCCCAATTACATGTAAAAACAATTTTAAACATTTTTTAAAGTTTTGAGTTCCAAATTCTATCCCTCCCCTACCCCTCCTTGACACAGTAAGCAATCTGATATAGGTTAAATATATAATATATATGTATGTATATATATATGTATGTATATATGTGTATGTATGTATGTATATATATGTATATATATGCAATCATGTAAAACATATTTCTGTATTAGTCATTGTATAGAAGGAAAAGAAAGAAAGAAAGAAAGAAAGAAAGAAAGAAAGAAAGAAAGAAAGAAAGAAAGAAAGAAAGAAAGAAAGAAAGAAAGAAAGAAAGAAGGAAGGAAGGAAGGAAGGAAGGAAGGAAGGAAGGAAGGACGGAAAAAGGAAGGAAGGAAGGAAGAAGGAAGAAAGGATGAAAAAATATTATGCTTTGTTCTCTATTCAGATGTCATCAGTTCTTTCTCTGGAGGCAGATAGCATTTTTCATCACGAGCATTTTGGAATTGTCTTGGATCATTGTATTGCTGAGAATAGCTAAGTCATTAGCAGTTGTTCATTGTACAATATTGCTGTTGCTGTGTACTATGTTCTCGTGGTTCTGCTCACTTCAGTCTGCATCAGTTCATGTAAGTCTTTCCAGGTTTTTCTGAAATCATTCTGCTTGACATTTCTTATAGCATAATAATATTCCATTACAATCATATATCACATCTTGTTCGGCCACTCCCGAACTGATGAGCCTTCCCTCAATTTCTAATTCTTAGCCAACACAAAAAGAGCTGCTATATCTATTTTAGTACAAATAGGTCTCCCTCTGTACCTTCTTTAAATCTCTTTAGGATACAGACCAAAGGATATGCACAGTTTTATAGCCCTTTGGTCAGAGCTCCAAATTGCTCTCCAGGATGGTTGGATCAGTTCATAACTCCACCAACAGTACATTAGTGTCCCAGTTTTCCCACATCCTTTCCAATATTTATCATTTTCCTTTTCTGTCATATTAACCAATCATTCAGAATTGTTTTTTTTTTTTTATCTCAAAGCATGACTTTGTATACCACGTTGCCAAGTTAAGCCCCAGGCCAAATTCTCAAGGAACTCAAATTTGTCTTTGTCAACTTTTTCCTTTAGTATGACTCTCTATGGTTATTTAGAGAGTCCCCACATAGGTGCCCTAGTCCCTTCCAGGTGCCATGTCCTCATACTCCTCGTGGCTTTCCAGGACTTACATATTTAGTGTCCCCCTTCTAGACTACTCTATCCAAGTAGCATAATGTGTTCTATGCTTTATACATTTTTTGAGGGTATAAGGGGCTGGACCTTAGATTTTACGGGTTTAGGGAGTTTCTGGCAAAGAACATCCTCTTACAATACTGACTGTCATCTTCCTTGCCACCAAAAGTCAGAGTGTCAGGTGTAAGTGGCATTTAACCTGGGGAGAGATTAGGAGACTTGCCCAGTAGCATAAAGCTAAAATATGTCATAGGCAGGATTTCAACTCAGGTCTTCTTGACTCTAAAACTAATTCTCTGTCCACTAGGTAATTTTAGTGATCAAAATTTTCCTTTCCTCTGCCCCATTCCCCTGGGGCTCTGCTTTCTTCATGTCAAAGTAGTCATTCATGCCTCCACTTCTGGTGACCATGCACCCTTAATAAGCAGGCAGAGGTATGGCCAGGCCACGCTGACCTACTATATAAATATATTGTGCTAGAATATACGCTATTCCTTTACTTTCTTTACTCTAGGTTCTCATTCTTCAGTCCCATGCTCAGTGGATAAAATGACACAAACACAATAACTGAATCTATAACTTAAAAGAGAACTCAGTGACTATCCAGGATCCAGTAGGATAATATATCTAAAGTGCTTCACAAACCTAAAACATTATATTAATGCTAGCTATCATCATTATTATTATTCAGTCAAACCAATAGCCACAAAAACAAAGGGGGTGGGGAGCCTTCTTCCTCTATTTTGGAATTACTCCTTTGATGGCTTTTCTTGTTTTATCATGGCCTCAGGACCTATGACACAGGCATATCTGAGACAAGTTGGGGGGAAGCTGAAAGGCGTGTCATTTTTCACAGCATCATTACTGTCCAAGTCTTTTGGTGGCTGCTGGGTCTTCAATGCATCATAACATGCACTCTTTACTTAAAGCTCTCCAGTGAGAGAAAAGCCACAAACCCCCAAATTAACACATTTCTCATTGGGATGCCTTTTACTTTAGGAAGTTTTTCTTGACATCAAGTCTAAATTTAACTCTCTGTAACTTCCAACCATTATTCCCAGTTCTGTCCTCTGAGGGCAAACAGAACTAGTCAAATACTTCTTCCATACAACCCTTCAAATACTTGAAAATTATTATTACGTCCCCCTTGAGCTTCTCTTGCCCAGGCTAAATATCTCTAGTTCTTTCAAATGATCCCATATGACACAAAAAGTAACTTGACTGTAAACAGAGTTGGAGGTGGGGATGGGGGAAGGGAGGGGGACTTAGTAGTTAACCATTGCCTGTCCATGTGTGCCTGATTGAATAGGACAGTAGCAGCTGGTCTGAGAACCTAACATTGCATGTTTTTTCATGAGTGTTAATGGATTAATGTGTATCATTTTCAGGAAGTGTATTTACATTTTAGCAGGAGTATTTTAAAAATACGACAATCCAAAAGAATGACTCTAAAGTGGAGATGTCACACCAAGGTGATGAGTGGGTTTTTCCAGATCCTCTCAAAACACAGCATTTATATAATCATGATAAGAAAGTTGTGCTTTTGATTGTTATGGAATACTACTGTGGTATAAGAAATAATGAGCTTGATGATCTTAGAAAAATTCGGATAGACTTCCAGAACAGAGCCAAGAGAACATTGTAGAGAATAACAATATTGTTTTAAGAACAAATTTGAGGAAGTCATTTTGACTATTATAAGTACCCAAATTAACTACAAAGGATCTATGAAAAAGGATGCTTCTGCATCCAGAGAGAGAACTGATAAATAGAAGTATGTGTAGAATGATTTTGCATATGTATACGTATTTGTGTCTAATGGTAACCTTCTATGAGGGACGAAGGAAGAAAAAAGTGGAAAAAAGAAAGTTACATGTTAACTGTATCATATATTTAAAAAGAATATCAAGTTGTACGTAACGGATTTGCAGTTTCATGTACAATCATATTTTTCCCCCTTACTCTACTATATTATGGAAATGCTTGTTTTATTTCTTAAGTTCAGAATAAAATAAATGGCTTTTTTTTTAAAAAAGAAATTTCCCATGGAAACAGATATTTGACATATTGAAATAGTAATCAAACTAACAATCTACTCTCCTCTTCAAATTCTCATTTGCTTGGCAATAGTAAGCAGAAACTCCATCTCAGTAGCTTACCTCCAACACCACTGTCAATAATTCTTTAAATCTTTCCATTCATCTTGAAGAATTATAAGAAAACTAAAGAAAATGCTTCACATGAGGAATTGTAGATTAGCTGACCTCTCCAAATTAGGTAGACTACCAGGAAACCAATTGTGATCAGTCAAAATAAAACACCACCAACAACAAAATGACAACACTGAACATTTATTTAGTATATTAAAGTCTGCAAAGCACTTCACAAATTTCTAATTGTATCCTCTCACAACCCTGGGAGGCAGGCCCTATTAAGTAACTTTGCCCCAGGTCACTCAACTAATAAGCATATGAGGTTAGATTTGAACTCCGGTCTTCCTGCCTCCACATCGAACACTGTATTGATTGTGCCACCACCTCCCTGCTTCATCCTCACTCTCTACTCCCCTACCCCTTCTAAATGGTATTTAAGGACATCCTGACAAATCCATGAGATTAACTGATGCATTTTTCAGTTTGGTTATTCACTGGGTCTGAGGTAATATAATTAACACTAAATTGTAAGTTTTCTCTGGTGCACCTTGACCTGCAAGTGCATACCATACCAAAACAAACCCCTACATATTTCAAGTTCTGTCTTTCATCACTTTTGTATAGCCCTGGACCTAAGTTAGGAGCCTGATCCCCTGGTGAGCCTTTTCCCTCACAGTTCCATAATAACAATAACAACAAAAATCTCCTTTACCACTAATCACATCGTGATGTGTGGTCAAGTCTATAAAATGCCACTTTTTTGAAGTAAATCCTAAATTCCAAATGATGGCTGCTGTGCTCCTGTGAATGAAGTAAAAGGAAAAAAAAGGTGAGTTTCAGTAAAATCAGTTACATGAATATCACATGTTACATGTTAACAAGTTATACCAACATGATAAACTGTCTGGGTCCAGTCCCCCACTCAGCCATTAACCTAAGCTTCATCATAAACATATTCATGGCTTCCTGACCACTAGTGTTACAAGGAGTGCAGAATTTTATATCAGGTCTTATGCTTTCTGGGGACTAGAGTGTTTGGCATTTGTAGTTCTCAAAATCATCTATGCCCTTCCAAGCATGCTGAATCTAGTCAGAAGACCTGAATTCAAATTCTGCTTCCATTACCTACTACCTATACGACTTTAAGCAAATCACTTTATATCTCTGAGCCTCAGTTCTTCATCTGTAAAATAAGGGGTTTGAACTAGATGACCTGATTCTAGATTCTGGTTCTAGATCTTTAATCCTATGATATATCATTTTATGAGGACATTTTCCTTTGTTTTAAATTAAATTTGTTTTTAATTGACAAGCACTTATTTTCTCTGATGGACTAAATATAAGGATACTTTCAAAAAGCCAGTTTGTTAGCAATGAAATATTCATCACACCTGGTTGGAGTCATCAAGTAATCCACAGGACCAAAGAGACAGGACCAAATTGCTAGAAAGCTATTTGGTTTTCTTAATGATTACTATCAAACAATTTAAGTTACCCTGCAGTGGACTGGAGACACCATTTTGATCAGAGGCTAAAATCAAATAATGTGATTGATTCTGGTAGTAAGATTCTCCTTGGCACATCAACATTATCAATTTTAAACTGTGCCTCTTTTTTCCAAGGAGTTATTTAGTACTACATGGACCCTGCCTCTGATTTCAGATAAAGCTAAATGGGGAAACTGCCATTAATATTCCACAAACCTAGTGCTATGGGAAATTAGACAAATTGTTCATAAGTGGAGAAACTATGAGCTAGTCATCTGTAGAGCCAGGATCAGGAGATGGCCTATAGCAGTGGAAATTGTCTCTGGGTAAAACTAACTAGGAAAATGCAAATGACTTGCCTTCTGAAATTGGTTTCATTTTTTTTTTTGGAAGTAATCACGATTAAGTGACTTGTCCAGGGTCATATAGCTAGTAAGTGTTTGAAGATGAATTTGAACTCAGGTCTTCCTGACTCCAAGGTCAGTACTCCATCCAGTCTGCAACCCAGCTGCCCTTGAAATTGGTAATCAATAAATTGATAAAAAAAAATAAAATCAATAAAAAGTTTTTAAAAATCAATGAAGATTGCCCAGAGTCATAAACCATGAGATGATATGGTATAGCAGAAAGAGTACTGGATTTGGAATCAAATTACCTGGATTCAAATCTTAATACTATCACTGACTATCTGTGTGACCTTGGGCAAAGCACTTAACTTCCAGGGGCTCAGGTCTCCTCATCTGTAAAATCAATCAGTAAACATTTATCAAGAGCCTACCATGTGCCAAGCATTGTACTAAGCACTGGGGATACAAAAACAGACAAAACAGAGGAGACAATATACATACAAATATATGCAAAGTAAGGAAATAATTAACATAGGAAGGTACTAGAATTAAGAGGGGTTGGGGAAGGCTTCCTATAAAAGGTGAGATTTTAGTTGAGACTTAAAGGAAGACAGGGAAGTCAGTACAGTAGTTGGGGGTAGAGGAGGGAGAGCATTCCAGGCATAGGAACCTGTGGCCTCAAGGCTACATGGGACCTTCTAGGTCCTCAAGTGAGGCCCTTTGACTGAATCCAAATTTTGCACAAATGTGAAGTTTGGATTCAGTCAAAGGGCTTCACTTGAGGACCTAGAGCGCCCCATGTAGCCTTGAGGCCACAGGTTCCACACCCCTGGACTAGATAATCCTTAAGATCCTTTCCAGCTCTAAGTCTATGTTCTGAAGAGCCATGTTCAACAAATATAATAATGATGAGAAAGTGGCTTATGTCCCCTTAGTAAAATGTATGCTACTAGATGACAGGAACTGTTTCATGTAAGTCTTTCTTTCTCCAATACCTAAAGCAATGCTTTGCATATAAGAAGTGCCTAATAAATGTTGGTTGAACTGATCTGAATTCGCAATGTATAAGGAAGGAAATGCATTAACATAAAGCAAAAGGCTATTTTCCCTTCCTGAAAATGTTCTCCTATAAAGAATACCAATAAGTCTTAGCTAGATCCCAGCTGTGGGAAGTATCATGTGTATACTGAGCACTCAATAAATATTTGTATTTGATGATCAAGCCACCTTATTCTTTCTTGAAAAGGAAGAAAATATGGAACTGCTTTACAAAAATGTTGAGTTTTTTTTTTTTAGGCCATACAGTTAGTTCCACTTACATTTTTCCTAATGCTAATTCAGAGAATAATAAATATCCAATGTTTATGACTAGTAATGACTTAGTTGAACTTCTAGTAAAGTAGCCACCTATGTTGGCTTTAGGTAACATCAGCCTATTCAGATTAAACAGATTCCTTATGTACTGTCCAAGGTGCTGGGGGAGATAAAAAGTTTAGAGTAAAGACATGATTCCAACTCTCAAGGAGCATCCATTAGGGTGATGACACGTAAACATATATATGCATGAGTGTGTGTGTGTGTGTGTGTGTGTGTGTGTGTATATATATATACACACACACACACACACACACACACACACACACATATACATATATACACATACATGTGTATATATGTATAATTTCTTTAGAAGGCCCTGATAAAATGTATCATTTAAAGAAAGCTAAAGCTGATATTTCCACAGTAAAGTACTTCACATAGCATGTAAACAAATCAGTAGGGATTCAGAAATAGCTTTCACACTGTTGCCAGAAAAGTACAACTTTGGCCATACAAAGTCTAAAATGGTCCAAAGCACCTAGTCATCATAGGGGGGAAAGGTTTTGAGTGTTTTTTGTACCCTGACTTGCTCCAACTTACCTTATATCTTCCTGTGTCCATGCAATTCAAGTATTATATTTGATTTCTTGAGTAGTGATTTTTTTATGTTTACACCTGCCTGGTTCATATTGGGCCATTGCTTGGATCTATTTATTAAATGATGTGATTGTGCTGATTCACACTACTTATTATACACAAGTTCAACCTTACTCTGAAGTTTTGGGTCACCTCAAGAAGTGCTGTCAAGTCAATATAATGCCATGCATCTCCCAGATGGTAGAGTACCCCAACAACATCTATGTCATTTGCATATCAAGAGTTTGAAGATTCTAAGATCCTAGAGTGACAGATAGCATCATGTATATGCTTTCATTCAGTAAACAGACTGATGTGATCCATTAGCATTGACTATGGCAAAATACTCCTTGGCTCATCTCCCATAACAGAGTAAGTTCTATTGGTTCAACTACTCACTTACTGCTCACAAATCTTCACTGGATGCCCGTTACCTACTAACTAAAATCCAAATTTCCACTCCATGAATACAAATGGCAACTTTCTCCCTCTACCCTTTTCTTCTACATCTCCCCTTTATAAAACCTACACTACAACCAAACTGGACAATTTGTTTTTCTGTAAATATATTACAAATATCCTCTTTTTCTGGAAGAATCATTTTTCAATTTCTGCCTAACCAAATTTTACCCATGTTCCATAGTCCATCTCAAAATCCAAATATTTTATGAAGTTTTCCATGACTCACCATCAGGGAATTCTCTCTCTCTCCTCTGAACTTGCATAGTTCTTATGATTTACCTTTCTTACAATACTTATCACATTCTGCCTTATAACTGTAGTTGTTGGAACACACAGCTTTATGTCTACAGCAGAGTGCAGAAGTTGTGTGTCACTACATGGACTCCATAGAAGACTCTTTTGGAGTCTGATTTCTCATGAGAACCAAATTTTAAGTTTCTATTGCCCTGTAATTTTTCACCTGCTTGGCATTTTCTTAACCTGATTGGTGCAGAACTCCTTGGAGCTTGGAACTTTAACTCTCAGAATAACTGCAGAACTTGTTGAGTATTCCTTTGGGCCAGTTGCCTTCGGAAATTCCAGATTTTGATCTCATCTGGTCTTTCTGTTCACTCACCTGAGTCTCAGTTTGGACTTTATGCCATCTCCCCTCATCAGGTGAACATTCTTCCAATGAGCCAATTAATTGTTTCTAATCTCAGTCTCTCACTCCCTGGCCATTCCAGAAAAGTTAGCTGATGTCAAAATCAGGAAGCTAATAATATTGATTTTTGTGAATGTCTTTTCTTTCTCTGGAAGATTGTAAGTTCCTTGAGGAAAAGGTCTATGTCTTAATGAACTTCATATCCCTCAAAGCAACAAGCACAGTCACTTTGGAATAGAAGTTACTTCATAAATCCAATGAATGAGTGTTAATTAAATTGTGTATGATATTTTAAGGTTTACAAAACATCATCTTCATAAAAAAACACTGCATGCATTATGTTCTATTCATTCCTTCATAATCCTGTATCCGTGGTTTTTATATTTTAAATACAATTGTAAGACTTTACATTTATAGCTATTAGAATGAACACATCTATTAGACTTCATTGTTTTTATTCCAGCCTATAATTCTAGCTTGCCAACAACTTTTTTATTCTGATTCTATAATCCAACATGTTATCTGTTCTTTTAAGCTTACCATCAACTACAAATTTGATAAATTTTCAATCATTCAAGTTATTAATAAAAATATTAAACAGAGGTGGCAGAGCCAAGATGGTAGAGTATAGGCAGCAACCCAGCCAAATTCTTCCACCATTTCCCTCCAAAAAACTTTAGAATAATGCCTCAAATCAAACTTTGAATTGGCAGGGACAACAAAAGATTAGGATGATTCATTTCACCAGCCTAAGACAACTTAGGAGGTCAGCCAAACAGGTCTATGACACCAGGGTCATGGCAGCCCACAGTGCACCACCAGCTATGACTCTTGGAGATTTCCACAATGGTGGCAGCAGCCGCTTTCAGAGCTTTCAGCCCAGATATGGTAAGGGGGTCAGACAACTGGTCAGAAAGAGATTACTGGGGACCCTTTGCTGGCACTTATTGGCAGCTCTATTGCCCATACATACATAGTTCTGGGACACAGTTCCAGGATGGAGAGGAGCACTAGCACTTGTGGCCACAAAGGAGCGGGGGACCTGGTCACAGTTTGAGGGCTAAGAGTTCTAGGGCACACAGTTCTATGTGACCAGGGGCCCTTCCTTAGTAAAGACCACAGTACAGACAAGGAAATCAGTGACCTGCATCTCTCCCCAGGTCACATCATCTTGGAAGCACAAAAAACTTGCAGACCTTCAGAAATAGCTCTGAAAACACTAACACAAAAAAAGCCTGAAGCTTGTCACAGTGTATCCCCACCACGAGATGAGCAGAGCCCAACTTTAACATAGAGTTAAAAGTTAAGAAATAAGCTGGAAAAACAACAAAGAAAATAACCATAGAAAGCTACTATGGTGACAAAGAAGACCAAGGCAGGAACTAAGAAGAATACAGCAATGCAAAAAGATGGCTATAAGCAAAGCTTCAAAGAAAGTGCTAACTGGATATAAACCTAAGAAAAATTCCTGAAAGAGAAAAAGAAAGAGATACGAGTAGTAGAAGAAAAATGGGGAAAAGCAATGAGAATGATTCAAGAAAATTATAAAAAGGGGGCAGCTAGGTGGTGCGGTGGATAGAGCTCTAGCCTTGGAGTCAGGAGGACCTGAGTTCAAATGTGGCCTCAGACACTTGGCACCTAAATAGCTCTGTGACCCTGGACAAGTCACTTAATCCCGCTTGCTAAGCAAAAAGAGAAAAGAAAAAGAAAAAAGAAAGAAAATTATAAAGAGAATTATTAGCTTGGAAAAAGAGACACAAAAAATTCTGGAAAAAGGACTCTTTAAAAAACAGAATTGGCTTAATGATAAAAGAAGCACAAAAATTCACTGAAAAAAAGTTTCTTAAAAAGCAGAATTGGTCAAATAGTAAAAGGTACAAAAGCTCACTGAAGAAAATAATTTCTTAAAAATTAGAAGTGGGCAAGTGGACAATAATGACTCCATAAGACATCAAGAAACAACAAAACAAAACCAGAAGAAAATATTTAACAAAACAATAATAAGAATAGACTGCACCAGAGAAATTCAGATTGACATCAATACATCAATAACTACTATTTAGTTCCAATCATTCAACCAGCTCTAAATCAACCTAACTATAATATCATCCATCCCACATCTTTTCATGTTCTGCATAAGGATATTAAGAATGAATTAAAAAGCATTTACTAGTGCTTATTATTTGGCAAGGATCATTCTAAATGCTAGGGTTACAAATAGAAAAAGAAGACAATCCTTCTTGAGGAGCTTACACACTGATCATAAGACAACCCATGTAGGCAAATTCAGACACAGAGCAGGTAGAAAGGGCTAGCAATTCTTAGGCTGCAGTGAAGTGTCTGCCCCATAGTAGCGATCTGCCACCTTTGAGAAGGAAAGTTTGGGCTTAATGGTGAGAATGGATAGGGGATTTGGGGTTTTCTCCTAACGGTAGGGATGGAGTAGTCAGTGTCAGGCCAGGAGTAAAAATGGGAAAGAGGTTCCTGGCAGGAAGGTTGGGCAAGGGCGACCGAGTAGGAAAGGCAGAAGTTATACCACTTGACATCACCAAACTGGAATCCCACTCTACCACCTAAGTACTCCAGCAAAGGTCTGAGGTAGCCTGTAGTGGGAGAGGGTAAAGATGGATAGTTCAGTATCTTACTTTTGTAAGAAAAAATTACTAGTCAAATACACTGCTAAATACCTAGATTTACAGCATTTTTACAGTGTACCAGCCTATACCATCATCAAAAAAGGAAATGAGGTTTGTTTGACATGATTTGTTCTTGATAGTCATATTGATTCTTCATGATGACTTCGTGATGATGCTTTCCAGATGCCTTCTTTCTGGATGCTCAGAAACCATGACTTAAATAGTAAATTAAAAAAAAATTGTAAGCACTTAATGTCAAATGCTCCATTATATAGTTTAAGAATGCACCTTTTCCTTTTTTGAAATTAACATCGGCCAGTTTAAAGTTGCCCAGAACCTCTCCCCTTTCCCATGATTTTTAAAACACAGAAGTTCAGTATCTTTCTAAAAGTTTAGGAATATCTAAGTTATAGTTCATCCAGGCTCAGTTGAATTAAAGGCAGATAAGTGGTCTTTTACTTCTTCCTCACTCATCTTGAATTTCAATTCTTTTGTTAACTGTATCTTTCAGTTTAATAATAATTCACCTTGGTAGAGAAAGCCCTTCCTTCTTTACATTATCTTCATACCAATCAACCCAAATCATGGTCAGACTTCTTTGATCTTCCTGTTGCCCCCAGCTTTACTTTGAATAATTCACTTTTTTTGCTCTGTTTAGCATTCAATCCATTTAGCATTAGAAAGTGGTGATCATTTTCTGCCCTTCAGAATTCTTGATGTTATTCTGATAGCGCTATGTCATTCTTCTGTTTATCCTCAGTTGTCTGAACCACTTCTATCTTCTGCCAATTTTTAAAAAAATTTACTCACATTTGATCAGAGTTCAATATGTATCAACATTAGTCTCTTTAGACAAGAGGTTATTAATGTGGGGGTTCTTAACATTGTACATATGTTGTGTGTGTGTGTGTGTGTGTGTGTATACATACCTATATATATGTTTATACATTTGTATATGCACATGCATATAGGCATGCATACATCATGTGAATGCACATTGTGCACGTGAATGTATTTGTGTATCTACATAGATGTATATGTGTATGAGCACATATGTGTGTACAGTTACAAATATAACATACTTTAATAACTGCATTTTAATTATTTAAAGGTAGCTAAATGGTGTAGTGGATAGAGTACTGTACCTAGACTTCACTATCTCTGACTTCAAATCTGGCCTCAGACATTTACTGCCTGGACCCTGGACAAGTCACTTAACATCTGTTTTCCTCAATTATAAAATGAAGATAATAACAGGACCTATATCTCTCAGGGTTGTAGTGAAGTTCAAATGAGATAATATTTGTAAAGTGCTTAGCAAAGTGCCTGGCACATACTAGGTGCTATAAAAATGCTTATTTTTAGAACATATGTGTATACATATATATACACACACACATATGTATACATGTGTATATACCTATATTCATTCATACATTCACACACACACATATATATATATATATATATATATATATATATATTCACATACACACACATATTTTTTCCTTTTGTAATCCTGTGTGTTTTGTTTTGTGCAAATAAAAGAAAAATCATCCATAGGCTTTGCCAGGTTATCAAAGGAGTCTATGAACAAAACTCACAAAAAAGTTTTAAGAACATCTGTTTTAGACTATTTTACCTTTTTTTCTAACTGGAATTGTGTGTTTGTGTCCCAGGATTTTGTTTTTGAAATTACCCCATTGTTCTTGTGCTGAGTTTCTCTATAGAATCTTAAGCAGTGACTTTCTATTTATCCTTGCTTTCAACTCTTAGAATTTGCTTTCCCCAAATCTAAGACTATACCTAGCAATGTGATCTTCATCCATCATGAACTCTAAGACACATGGGCACTTCTTCTTGGAGTTTCCGTCATTCATATTTTAGCACCCTTCCACCTAAGATTATCCCCAATTAATCTTTTCTATATCTAGTTTTTATGTAGCTGTTTGCATGTTGTCTCTCATTGTGAGTTCCCTGAGAACAAGGACTGTCTTTTGCCTTTTTTCATATCTCCAGTGGTCAGCAGTGTCTGGCACATAGCAGGTGTGTAATAAGTGTTTTTGATAAGCTGACTCTTAACAGAACAGGGTTCAGAAGAGTAGATCTGGTGTGGTGCAGTGTAAAGAGCAGCAGCTAGGTGGCACAGTGGATAGAGTACAGGACCTGGAGTCAGGAAGACTCAACTTTGTGAGTTCAAATGTGACCTCAGACACTTGCTGGCTGTGTGACCCTGAGCAAGTCACTTAACCCTGTTGGCCTCTGTTTCCTCACCTATAAAAATGAGCTGCAGAAGAAAGTGGTAAACTACTGCAGTATCTTTGCCAAGAAAATACCAAGTGGGAACACAAAGAGTTGGATGTGACTGAAACAATTGAACAACAATAAATAATTGAGCTTAAATAAAGAGCACTGAATTCAGAGTCCGAAGACTGGGGTTTGGATTCCAGTTCTGCTTCCTATGTGATGCTGGGGAATTTAAGATTTGTGGACCTCAGCTTCCTCATATGTAAAAAGGGAGACTTGAACTAAGGTGCCTTCTAGTTCTCAAGTTGTATGATGCCCTTCATCATTTCTATATTTTGATGAATTAAAATATTTTAAGAAAATATTTTTGTATGCAGAAACCATAAGTCATTTTTTCAATAAAAAATAAAATATTAGACTTTGTCAGGGGCTCTGCTTTAAGCAGAGAAAGGGCTCCATCTCTATCACATCAGGCCTCCTCACCACGGGTTGATAAGTGACAGGGGCGCCCTGGACCCTGGCTTCCTAGGAAGGGTCGTGGTAGACCCCCGGCCGTAGGTTGCTGAGTTACGCTCAGCTGACGGTCACGGGGTGGCTCCGCCTCTAGGATAGAACAGGGGAGGGGCGCAGAGTCTCATGAGGCTCGGAGGGGTGGGCTCTTGTAAGTGTATATAACGGGCTAAGAGCAAGGGATCGGGGAGTCCTCTGCAATAAAGATCTTACACCGCACTCGCGTCCTGTCTGGTCCTTGAGCCCATCTTTTCCCCAGGGTGGGTCCGGAGACGTCCGAAGCCTAGCTCCCAGGAAGGAGAAGTACCTGAAGGATCCGGCCCGGGTCAAGTGGCGCCCGAACAGGGACCTGAGCTCCTCTTCGGCGACCCCGCCAGGTACGGGTAAGTACCCTCTCTCCAGTGAAAGAGAGGAAGGGACCGACAGCCTATGCAGATCGGGGCTGCATAGAGGGAAAGATGGGAGCACGATACGGTAAAGGAATTAAGCCGGAGGATAAGCGAGTGCTAGTCCTACAAGTGTATAAGCTTTGTAGGGATAATGGGGTAAAAATACAGCTGAGACGCTGTCAGGAATGGGTAGAAAAGCTTATAGTGGTGTCTCCGTGGTTACAGAACCAAGGGGTTGATTATCAAAGATGGAAAATAGTTGGGAGTCAGATGTCCTCCTACGCAGAGACAGAACCAGGGTTTTTAACACCAGAGGATTTTACTCTTTATGGCATTGTGACTTTCGCCCTCTCTCCGTGCCCTCCGCCGGTAATAGTAGCGGAGGAGACACAAGTAGGAGCATCTTTATTAGGAGGGGAACAAGACCTTGAGGGTCAAGAGGAGCCATGGCCTGAGCCTCCTAAGCCCCCTGAAATACCGTCTGCACCATGGCCGAGTCTGGAGCCGCTCCCTCCGGAGCCGCTCCCCCCGTATGTGCCACGTTGGCAGCAGAAAGAGGAAGTTCCACCTGTGGCGCAGTTAGAATTCCAGACAGAGGAAGTTCCGCCTGTGGCGCAGTTAGAAATGCAGATACAGCAATTACAGGCCCAAATAAACCAAATGCGGCTTGATAAAAGAGGGAAGAATGAACGGGCCCCGCAGGCCTCACTTTTACAGCATTCATTGCGAGAGGCCGCCAGGGATGGGCAGGTAGTAGACTGGAAAGAGTGGGGACAAGAATTCCCAATTTTTGTCCAGGGAGGTGCCGGAGGAGGTGGTTGGTCTCACCGACCAGTGCCCTACAAGTTCATGAAAGATTTGAAAGAGGCAGTAAAATTATATGGAGCAGGCTCTTCTTATGTCAAGCAGCTGTTGCAATCTACTGTGGCTGTGGCCGCTTGGACCCCAGGGGATTGGGATGAAATTATGTCTGCTGTATTGGAGAGTGCTGCTTACACCGCCTGGTCGGCGTATAGACGCCGAGAGTCTAGGACCTGGGCGGAGATTAATTTCCCTCAGAATGTAGAAGATACCATTAATATGCTAACTGGGTATGGCCAGCATGCTGGGCTGCAGGCACAGCTCTTACTCCCAGACCTTGTCATACAAGGTGCTCAGATAGTGGCGCTAAAAGCATTGGATAGACTAGGGGAGAAATCGCAACCTCCTTTAAACAAACTCGTGCAAAGGCCAAAAGAAAGTGCCATGGAATTCGCGTCCCGAGCACAAGAGGTTGTGGAAAAGAGATATGGAGCAGGAGATGTTGCCCAAAAGCTGCTGATACAGCTTTTCAAAGAAGGACTTAAACAGTCACGAGGGTTGTTGTCAAAGTTACCACCAGACCCCACATGGGAAGAATGCATTGATGTCTGCCTGGAGGAAGGTCCCTTACCTGATGCAGGCATGGTCCAGGTACTGACTGAGGCTTTCGCTGCAGCGCAGGCAGTTAACACGGGGACTAGAGCAAAGGGGACTTGTTTCCGTTGCGGGAAAGCAGGTCATTTTCAAAGTCAGTGTACCCAGGGTGCCCCACAAGTCCGCTGTTTTAAGTGCGGAAGGGCGGGACATATTAAGAAGTATTGTAGACAGGGAAGAAAGGAAAGACGTACGGGGTTACAGGAGAGGCAACCAGGAAGGCAAGAGAGGAAACCGCAGGGAAACGAACGGCGGGTGCCTTAGCCCGAGAAGGGACACCCGCAGCTACAACCTCGGGCGGTAATATACTCTACCCTGTCCAAACGTTAACATTGGGACCATGGACAACGAGTACAGTGGAAATAGGGATGGCCACTGAGCCCAGATTAATCATTGGGACGTCACGGATGAAAGATGTCATAGTACATACCCAAGTGCAGAAGGCTGGCCAGAAACACATTTTTCTCACCAATCCTCATGCAACGTCAATACGCATTGAGCCAGGTCAGCCGATCGCAGCTTCTCTTCCCTTAGCCCCACAGAAACAACAGAATTGGGTGGCGTGGACACAAAGTATAGGACAGGACAGACCCCAATTGGAGGTGCGGGTTGAGGGGCGACTAATCACAGGCCTCTTGGACACGGGGGCAGATATTTCTGTTATCCCTGAGAGTGAATGGGACAAAGCTTGGGAGCTAGGACCTAGGGGCTCTGTGACAGGAGTAGGCGGCGGAGCCGTTGGGATGCGATCTGTTAGACTGCTCCGATGGGACAGTGAGGGACAGGATGGGTTTTTTCGTCCTATGTGCCTTACAGGAGTGCCCATAGCTTTATGGGGGCGTGACATTTTGGAGCAAATGGGAGCTGTTTTGACTACTGACCCTTTAAACTAATGTGGGCCACTGGGGGGCCACAACCCATTCCCCTTAAGTGGAAACATGAAACACCAATTTGGATAGACCAGTGGCCACTAACTACAGAGAAAATTGAAGGCCCTAAATAATATAGTAAACGGTCTACTACAGGCCAAGCATGTGCAGCCCTCGCAGAGTCCTTACAACTCACCTGTGTTTGTTATTAAGAAAAAATCGGGAAAGTGGAGGATGCTCATTGATCTCAGAGCTGTCAATGAGGCCTTATACCCATTTGGTGCCTTACAACCTGGGCTCCCCACACCTAGTATGATTCCCCGACATTGGGCCATTGCAGTTTTAGATATAAAAGATTGCTTTTACAGCATTCCCTTGGCAGAGAAGGATACAGAAAAATTTGCCTTCTCTGTTCCATCTCCGAATTTTCAAGAGCCTTATCGCCGTTTTGAGTTTACTGTCCTCCCTCAGGGGATGGCTAACAGTCCAACCATGTGTCAGGCTTTTGTACAGGCCGTTCTCCAGCCCCTCCGGGAGGCCCATCCAAAGGCAATGATCATCCATTACATGGACGACATCTTGCTAGCCAGCCCGAATACACAGGAAACGGAGATTTTGTTACAACAATGCCTAGGAATGCTAGAACGAGCAGGTTTAGAAGTGGCTCCTGAGAAGATACAAAAGGGCGATCCAGTCTCATACCTAGGCCACCGAGTGACTGAGACTGCCATTTATCGTCCATGGCCTCAAATAGATACTTCCAAAGTAAAGACACTCAATGATTTTCAAAGATTGATTGGTGCCATACAGTGGCTTCGAGGAGTGGTCCCTATCTCAGATGCTGTCATGCAGCCACTTTATGATTGTCTTAAAGGGCCCTCTGCTTTAACTTCTCCCAGACAATGGACCACGAGCGCCCTCGAAGCAATACAATATATTCAGCATCAGTGTAAACAGCAAGTACAACGTAGAGATTTGCAAACCCCCCTCTACGTCACTCTCTTACAAGATGAATATAAAGGCATGTTGGCAGTGATCTATCAACAGCACGGACCGCTTATGTGGGTTTATCCAGACAGAGACAAAAAAGCACTCCCTAATAGAATGGAAACCCAAGCTCACTTGCTGCTAAAAGCAAGTGCCACGGCACGAAGGGTTAGCGGTAAGGAACCTCTTATAACTCTTAATATAACCCCTCAGGTGCTACAGGAGCTCGCTTTAACTAGCGAAGCTTGGGCGGTCTTACTTGTTACCCACACCATTCTACCGTTAACGTTACCCCCAGCTTTACGTCTGTGGCAAGCTGTTCCCCTTCAACGTCCTAGCACTATAATAGCTACAGAACCAGTGCAGGGACCAAATGTGTTCACAGACGCCACAAAACACCTAAAAGCAGCCTTTTACATCCCAGAAAGGAAGGTTTTACAAGTGTATGCTACCCCCTACAATTCTGCTCAGCAGAATGAATTAGCAGCTATTATCAGCGCTTGTGAATTCTTAGCAAAAGAATCTTTTAATCTTATCACAGATAGTATGTATTGTTATCATGCATTCCAGCATTTACCTGATGCTGCCTTGGCACGGTCACCTTCGTCCGTCCTCCCGCTCTTTCAGCGATTGCAGCAGCACCTGCTGAGCCGAACTACACCGATTTATACTTCATGTCCGCTCTCATATAGGCCCATACGGACCTTTATATCAGGGCAATGCCGTAGCGGATGCGGCTTTACAACAAGCCCCTACTGATGTATTCTTTATGACACCTTACACGGCTCATCAGAAATTACACCTTTCTGCTCGCACTTTAAGAACAATGTTTGGCATTCCCAGAGAGCAAGCCAGACAAATCGTGAGAGCTTGCCCTAATTGTGCTCCTTTTCGACCACCACCCCCTATACCGACTTACAATCCCCGTGGTCAAACACCTAATGCCTTGTGGCAAATGGATGTGACCCATTTTCAAACTACTCTTATTCATGTGTCAATAGACACTTATTCCGGCTTCCTTATGGCCTCCATTCAACCTCGTGAAAATGTCTCAAGTGTTCGTGCTCATCTGTTATATTGTTTTTCCATAGCCGGTCTCCCCCACACAATTAAAACGGACAATGGTCCCGCTTATCGCTCGCGCTCTCTCGCGACTTTCCTTGCTGAATTCGGCATACGGCACGTGACCGGCATTCCCCATAATCCCACCGGACAGGCCATTGTCGAACGAGCCCACCAAACTTTGAAGCAGCTTCTTGTTAAACAAAAAGGGGGAGTCCCAGGCAGACTCACCAGGGCCCTCCTTGATCAGGTTTTATTCACTTTAAATTTCCTGCAAGTGACTGATGATGGCCTAACCCGAGCTGAGTGGTTTTTTCGCCCACGTGATACCGGTGTGCACGCACCGTCTTTGGCCCCACGGCAGGAGCTGCTGGAGCAAGGCGCTTCTGTTATGTGGAGAGACCCTGAGGGTGTGTGGCATGGTCCAGATAGGGTAACTTTCCGGGGGAAGGGTTATCTATTCGTGTCTCCACAGAATGGAGAAGGTCGCTGGGTTCCCGTCCGCTGGGTTAGAGAACTGGAGAAAGGAGCGGACGCAGAGAAGGAGGCGGAAGCGAGGACGCCGCGGACGTCAATCCAGGAGGCTGAAGAAGGAGAATAGGAAGCGGATCTCCCACTGTGTTTTCTCTTTGGCCATTCTTAGTCTTGGCCTTGGGTGGGGGTTGCCCGTCGGCGCCGAAGGGCGTTCGGCGAAACACCTGGTTGCACAGCTAAATCACACTGCTAAGCCCTGGACTAACCTTAACCAGGAGCATACCTATTGGGCACTAGTACGACACTTCCCCCAACCACGTCCAGTTACTTGGAATGGGGATCCTGTTTCCCTAGTTGTGGTTTCCAATGCTTCACTCCTCATGGGCGGAGGGGTGGAACGGCCAGTTATTTCCCATGAACAAAATAAGACCGTTATTATGAGGAGTCCCACACTACCCATTTGCCTCAGCAAAGGTGCCCATGCCGGTTGTGCTCAGGTAGAAAATGATACCATCACTGAGTTACCGCATGGACCCCACGGTTGGATAGGGAAAGGGGACCATATACATTTTTATGTCTTACAACATCAGCGTAGCACGCTCTATCAGAGACATCAAAATTACTCACTGTGGCTGAACCATACCAACTCCGGGTTCAGTAACAACAGCAGCCATAGTTACACCCAAAATGTCACTAGCGGGTTTTTTCTCTCCCCACTCCCTCTTTGCACCCCTTCCCCTAACATGTTTGTAGGCTTCCAAATCTGTTCTACAGGGCATCAAGTAGATGGCGAGAACGTGAACGGGACTCAACTCTACTTTCTGGATGGACAACCGGGTCCTTGGTTTGCGGCCCCGGTACCCCATGTGCAAGCCCTCGAGGACCTATAGCCCATGCACATCTGTGGAAATTGGCTGCTGCCTTTGCACCTTTGATCCATTTCACAGATAACAGTGCACCTCTATCTGACAACAGCACTCTTCGGAACTGGTGGTGGGACTTGTTATTTTCAGCAGGGCGTACTTGCAACAGCCATGGTCAATTAGGACACTGTAACGATTTTAACGTGACCATCCAGACGACTTCGGATCGTGACATGTTTTGGATCTGTCGTAATGGCACCATCACTCCCTCCTCTGCAGAATACGCTGTACACTGCTCCAACGGATCGTTCTCCAATACCTTACAATCTACAGACGTAGCCTCCAACGCCACCATGGTCCTCCTTCTTCGAGTGCCGCCTATCACCTTTGTGCCAGTGTTAACTACACAACCTTTTGCGCAATCGCCTATAGAGAGATTCCTATTGCGCCGCTATCGGAGAGAGGTGGGAGGTCTCGACCTCATCAACCTTGCACTAAATATTGCTGAAGCATTAGATCTCGTTCTGGTGAACCATCAACTGAGTCTTCTAGCACGGCATTTGGAGGAGTTCATGGAAGAAACCACCCAAGCGTGGACTGTGCAACAACGATTTAATCGTCTCCTGTTAAACAAGGTTGAGCTCATGGCTACAGTGTTAGCTGATACTGTGCTGGAGGTGACTATTGCCGAAAAGCTTTCTACTGTTGGATGTTCTTATGAGTTTCAACCGCCCATGTGTGTCACTGCACTTCATCCTAACTCTTCCATTGACTCGTTGATTAAGAACTTGACTGACTTTGAGCAAATAGAAGATTGCCTTGGTCAATTGGACATTGTTTTGGAGCATATTCGCAATGTCACCCGCCAAACAAGGGATAATCTCTTCCCTGATTCCCCTTTTGATCAATTTTTCAGCTGGTTACATAACTTGGGGTTTTTGCATCTCCTTTTGTGGCTCTTCTATGGTGCGGGCTTCCTGATCCTTGTCTGCTTTATTGCCCCTTGCCT